TATAAAACGGAAAAGAAGGCTGTGAACGGGATGAAGGCTGAGGAGGTTTCTTTCTCTGTGATACTATGATATTCCATATTTGGGGGTCAAGTTTTCCTCATTTGTAGAATTATGGTAATGATCCTTCCTTTTCTCTTTTTCCTTCCTTGTGAAAGCCAGACAATAGGAAAATCAACAGTGGCTACCATAAAGTTTCTTATTCTCTTGAAAATAGCTGCCCATACCTTCCCACATATTGAAATTAAATAACAAAACAGACAAAAAATGATCAAAACAAAGAATACAAGCGTTACTGGGCTTCACAACAAGATGATAGGAAATCGATCATGGCTACTGTAATGTCTCGTTTTCCTCAAAGTAGCAGTTCATATCATTACACGCAATAAAATCAATTCTTGTAAACTCTTTAGGAGAAGTTCTAGGCATGTATAAGCCTGTACATGTACATCTGTCCTTTCTGTGTTAGAGGGAAAAACAAAGAAAATTATGGGAAAAGCAAGAAACAAAAGAGACAAATAACAATAACAAAGAGCCCAAAAAATTTCAAAGTAAGGTGGTAGGAACATAACTGAGGTTGTTATTTTGCATAGTTATCTTCAAAAAAGTTAGTCAGATTACCAGATATAGACATGCAAAATTGATCCAATCCTATGAATGTTAACTATTTTTCTCCAAGAACTAATAGATTTAGTAGTACAATCATCATAGTCATCTTAAGTGTGTATATACAAATGTATATCTTTTTTTCTTTCCCTTCCTTCTTTTCTCCTTTTCCCTGAGTTATTTTTCCCCTTTGCCCAGCTTCTTACTCTTTCACAATATTTATTGAAGATTTTGTATCTTATTTACTCATTTAGATTTTTATACTAGGGAGAAAATATAGTATTTACACATGTGAGTCTGATTTATTTCACTTATGAGTATAGTCTCAAGTCACATCCATTTACCTATAAAAACTTCAGTGTGATCCTTCTTTATAGCTGAGTAGTACTCCATTGTATAAAAATACCACATCTTTTTTATCCATTCCTCGATTGATATGCCACAGTTCACAAGGACATGCACATATCTGGTATGCTGATTTCACTTTTTTTTTTTACCAAACACCCAGAAATAGGCTAACTAATCATGTGGTAGGTCTATGTTTCAATTTTGGAGTGAATTCCATACTGCTCTTCAGAAGGCTGTACCAATTTGTATTTCCACCAATACTGCATGACAGCTTCTTTCCCCACATCCTTACCAAAATTTGTTATTTTGATCATAGCTATTATAACTGAGGTGAGTTAATATCTTCTTGTGGTTTTGACTATTTTAAAATCCTTGGGAGTATAATCCTCATCTCAAACACATCTGAATTGCCCAAGGGATAATGAGGTTCAAAAAAGAAACCTTTCTAATTGAACTGAAAAAGAAAATGTAGATGTACACCATTAGGTAAAAGTTAAAAGTCTTAAAACTAGGATATTGCATTCCTGAATCGGAATACTTTTCAGATTTCAGTGACAATGCTGAAATAACCCGTGTATTTTCTTTCTCTTTGTGGAGGAGGACTGTCAAATCCAATTGGCCATTCTGTATAATCTTTTTGAAGCTTTCAAACTTGGAAATGAAAGAGGGAGAACAAAAACAAAAACAAGAAAGGTCACCAACTGCCTCTCTTGAGATGTGAATCACCACCTTCTTTTCATCTGCAAAGCTGGTACAAACTGAAAACTCCCTCTTGGGCTTTTAGAGTGCACAAAGGATTTCTGACATGATTATCACCCTTCTTATCACGAAGGAAAACTCTCACTGGGGTGATGTATGGTGAAACTCCCAGGGAGGACCCCATCCCTCCTTTAATGTCATTTGAAATCTGGTGTCTTGAGCTCTGGCAGGTGCCTCCCACTTCTGCAGTCTCTGACCTTGACCCGATGCTTCCCAGTTTCAGTGGGAACATGAGGAGAAGACCAGAGAGGGCCAAGAGTAATACTCTGTGCTCTTAAGCTGGATCCATGCCTTCTTAATGATTTATTTTTCTGCTCTCGTGCTTGGATAAACTTTCTCTCTCCCTGTCCCTCGTTTTCCTTTTTTTTCCATCTTTCTCTCCCTTTCTCTTGAGAGTTCACCCAGGCCCAGAGCCCTTTGTGTGAGTCTGAGATGCAGCCACAGCCCTAGAGCCCCTGCTGGAGGATATGGACCTCAGGGTGCATGCACCCCCAGACAGACCCAGGGTTTCTGAGACACTACGCTCCTCAGCTAACCAGTTTCAGCTGTAACCAGCGGAACACTGGTTGAGCCCGGGGCTGGGACCCTTTGGAGTTTGGACTGAGTCACTAAAGGTATCCTCTGGGGCGGGGAGGAGCTGTCCAGCTGGGGCTGTTGTGAGGAGGACAGTGGGATCTCAGGGTGCACTGGAGTCTTTATGGGGCTGAGGGGACATCCTGGGTGACAGCTCAGCAGGTGTGGGAACACACTGGATCTACAGAGCACGGACTGACTCACTCCCTTCCTCCCGAGAGCTGCCCCACACGGCTGCTTTTGACACACAAAGGTGACAATTCCTGAGCGACTGGCTTTCAGTTTGCTGTGACTTCTGTCTCATCCTCCTTCACTTTGGATGCCACTTGGAGATACACTATGATTTCCTAGATGATTTTCTTTTAACTTGCAACAGATTTTCGTCCTCTGGCAGAGTGATTTCTTTTAAATTCTGCTGGTGTGAATGATATTATTCTTAAAGCTGACTTATAGGAAAAATAAAAAGATAATCTGTACATTATGCTACTCAAGAAACAAAAAATATTTAAATACTGTGATCTAGAATTCAATGTTTGATAAAGATGCCAGCCAAAGAACCTGAGAATTAAGATTTCAATAAAAGTGGCTAACAGTGGGGAAAAGATGATTTTAAAAATGTAAAATTCCAGCTTTCCTCCATGTTACCTACCTATGTGGGCTGGAGATGTAGGATCTGGCTCTCACTAGCATTAAAAATGATTAAATAAATTAGCAATAAAGGAATTCATGAGAAACTGAAATAAAACCCCAGTATTTGTCAGACAATACATCTTTTATTTTTATCATTCATTTATGAAGGACTGATTTGTGTTACAAATACAATTAAGTCTATAAACACATTGCCCTCAATTAAATTAAAACAGCCTATAGACTCCGTACACATTTGATTCTAAAGAGAAATTTCAGAAAGTGATGCTCTTTCTGGATATTTTAATAAAAGGAATCATTACAAAATGGAATTTAAAAAAAAAAAACCAACCAACAATCCACAATTCCATGTACTTTGTTAGATATTAGCAAAAGAATTCTTATAATTTGAAGAGTTTTAATACACATTTTAAAGTCAGGTAAAATGATTCTAAGTTATATTTTTCATAATATGTTCAAACATTATATAGGCTAATAGTTTAGTTTTAGTTGAATAAATATTAACCAGATAAAACAAATTATGTATTTATTTAATCTTTCCATTCTATTCATTAATATCCATGAAAATTTTAGACTTCACACTGGTTTGAATGCTACATAGTAAGTTAGACCCCTCAAGTCTAGACCCCAGGATCTCAGTGCTGGAAGTCACCATGAACTTCTGGAAATTCTGGTACCAGAGTACTGAATTACAGTTGGGTGATCCACATTCTTCTTGAACATCTCCACCACCAGGAAGCTTATCCCATTCTCAGTTTAGCTGCACCCAAATCCTTCTGTAAACCTTCTATTTCTGCTGAGATTGATTCAGTTTCTATTTCACAGGACAGACTCCAGGATGATTGAAAAGCTTTCCATACATTACGATACACTGAATAAAATAGCCATTTTTATAGAAAACACCAGAAATGTAAGGCATTTAGCAGTGATTTGCAGCTGTCCTTTGCTGGACCCATCATAACCTTCTAGAACTAAAATCTTTTTCTATGCCTCTGTCACTCTCTACGTGGTCTTTGCCTTTGTCAGCGCTGTGGTCTTCCTTGTCTCCTGCCCGGCCATAGGCAGAGGAGGGCAGGAGATCCACCATCAAGAGCCCCAGCTTCGGACGCTCCACCTCCACCACTCCACTTACCAGACAAGGGAGCCACAGTTAGTGCCCAGCCACAGGGCAGGGCCACGTAGAACCACATTCCAGGCCCAGCTCCCCTTCTCCTGGACCAGCTCCTGGAATTCTCCCTCCATGCCTGCATCGCATCTGTGTGGCGAGGCCACCGTGATGCACTCAAGTTCACGATGTGGGCTCCAATGGAAGGCACTGGCATTGTCTACTGAAATACCCCACTTTATCCTACCGCCTTCCTGTGATGGTCACCATCGTGCCTTAGATGGAAACTGATAGAGAAGACGAAGAAGTCCACTGTCTGAAAGTGCCTTGCAGGTCAGTGGCCAGCAGATAACCATGGACACTGCTCCTTCTGGTTACAAGGTGAATGGAGCAGCTGAGCAGGCAACAGCCGACCTGGTTACAGGTGTGTCTGCTGCTGCAACCCTGGGGGTGCCAACTAGCTCTCCTCCCTCCCCTCCTCCTCTCTCCTTCCTCTCTCTCCCTCCACTCCTTCCTTCCTTCCTTCCTTCCTTCCCTCCTTCTTTTCTTCCTAGTAAAGTAAAAGAATCTTAGTTTGATGATGCAACTTGCCAAAGCTGATCCAGAACTAAGGGTGAGGCTTGGGACAGACTGCTTTACCTGGCTGCTCATTCACCCTGCATCACAGTTCTTGTAGGATTCTGAATTGCAAAAGTAAACCAGCAAATAACTCCCTAGTCTCAGTGGCCCTCCTGCTGTTTAAACAGGCTACAGATACTCCACGAGTTACAGTGGGTTAACTCCCAACAAACCCATCACACATTGAAAATATGTAATGCCTTCAAGGCACCCAGAACACTTACCTTAACCTGCAGCTGGGCGAAATCACCTGATGCAGTGCTTATTTTATAATAAATGGAGACCATTTCAGATGATTGAGTGAGTACTGGATTGAACAGGACAAATGAATAGTTGTGTGGCTATGCATTCTCATCTTTTTAAACTAGAAAACTCTAAAGTTAAGCATCATGAGTCTTGGCCTTCGGTACTACAAAATTTTCAAACTAAAGTCACCAACCAGGCTCTCCGTTTGCAAACACTCCTGAAGGAGTGTGGCTGTCACGTTCCCTCTGGGACACAGTGCCAGGTGGGAGATCTGGCATCAGAGGCTAGCTGGCTGCTTTGGGGTTGGGGGAGACCCGGAATTCTAAACACAGGTGTATGCAGTAGGGGGCACAAGGAACCACCACACCTTTGGGAGCAGAGAAACTCAAAGCCTGACCCCGTAACACATTGTCTGAGGTCATCCTACTCCAAAGTTCACATTTGTTTAATGGATTCTCATGGATTCTTGCGGGGAAATGGGGTAGGAAGTAGACAGCATATTTGTAACCAGAGAACAAAGTTGGGCTATGCTGATGACCATGTAGTATAAACCACACAGCTTATAAGCAGGTTGGAAGATTATTTGTCATAATGATTGAGAGTGTTATAATGGTTGAGAGTGATTGGTGTTGAGAGTAATGTTATAATGGTTGAGAGTGATTGGTGGTCAGGACCCCAGAGGCCTGGAGGACCTAGAAGGACCATCTGGAGAGACCTTGCCTCTACTACTCAGTTCTAGATCATCCTGTGGCCTATGCAGTGGCAGATTCTGGGTCATCTTTTCACATGTCCTTCTTCACAGCTTTGCTCTCTACCTGCTCCTCCCGGGAGGTCGTTCTCGGGAGCACGAATGCTTGTCTCATCTTAAGGCTGATGAGGTTCCCATGATACAGGTTCTGAACTGTGCGTGCCCTTAACAGCTTCAGGGACAGAAGATGAGGGCACATTTGACACCAGAAAGGCAGAGCAGAGATGGGGATCAGGACACTTGAGAGGACTAGCATGGAAAATGGACTTTGCTTGTTTCCTGATTACAGTCACCAGGATGGGACCCCATCTAAGCATCCCCCCACCAGGTAGTGAGTGGGAATTTTTCAACCAGTTTCTGGGTTTTAAATAATAAGGTTGAATAGAGTCAAATCTTGTAGATGGGAACACTGAAATCCTCCAGCTGGACCACAGCAAGTGGAGGCCTCTACTGAATGACACAGAGAGCCCAGGCTCAGCTAGGCGCAGTGATACTACCTGGAGGACTACCTGAGTACTACAATCCCAGTACTTTGGGAGGCTGAGGCAAGAGAATTGAAAGTTGGAACCCAGCAAGTGCAACTCAGTGAGACTCCATCTCAAAGTAAAAAATTAAAAACTAGGTGTGGGTATGGCTTAGTGCCTAGGCTCTGAGTTTAGTCCTCAGTATGACACATACATAGGCACTTAAAAATACACAGGCAGATAAATGGCCTCTGTCTCGGTCCTCCACCAGCTGCTTGCTAGAGTGTCTAAGCATTTGTGCCTACAATGAAATCAATGCAGATAAAAATTTTTAAATCTCCTGGTAGAAGTGAGAGGCTAGAGCATGAGCATAGGGAACATAGAGCCAGCCTCTGTGCATGGTGGATGGAAAGATGTGCATGGTGGGGACCCACTGCAGCCCCCACACTCTCCAGCTCCGTGTTTTCCGTAGGCTCTGGAGAACAGGACTCAGTGCTTCAGGCCTTGCTGCAAAGCTCAAACGTGAGGTGCCGAAGCACCTGGCTGCTCTCCTGTGCTGCACCCGTGACTCATGATGATGCTCGGGGCAAGAGTGTGACAAGGTGCTGCTCCTGCAGATCTGGCCTCATCTCTTGCTCCGGGACAAATGAGGAACACAGGGACCTTGGCCAGGTGGCACTGAGATGCCGCAGGCTCTTTGACCTGTCAAGTAGTAAAGTAGAATCAATCACAGAAATAAACCCTCCCTGTGGTTGGGAGATTATCATCTTTACAAGGTAATAAAGGCAACAAATCACATCTGCCAGCACTCAGAGCAGGAGACTCGTACAGCAGCCTTGGGTAAGCAGAGAGGCTCCATGCCCCAGCACACAGGATTGAGAGAGAAAGCTGGGATCTGGGCTGCAGGAGACCATACACACTGAGGCTGTGTGAGTGGACAATCGAGGTGCACCCCAGAGGGTCAGCTCCAGCTGCTGACGGGAGGACACCAGACCCCTGAGCACTCCAGCTTCCCACCTTCTCGCTCCTTCTTATTGCTGATAGCTATGGATTTAAATCACTTATCCCCAAGGACACTGGCGGCTGGTGTACAATCAGCAGACTTGCAGGGCCTACCCTCATTCCCAGCTGGGCCCCACCTTCAGTGACCACTCCAGCAAATGACTGGACCCAGGAGGACACTGACTGGCCATTTCTGCCCCACGTGAGTCTCTCAAACAGGCAATACTTGCTTGAGGGTCTCCCATGGGCTCCACCAAGACTTTCTCAGAACCCCACCCAAGTCAGGCTTTTCCTTCCCATTCCGCCCCCGTCCCTGCTCTCGGAGCTGCTGGGGGACTCATGGTGCGAGATCTGCCCCTGGGCATTCTTGGTCCCCCCCACACACACATCCTTCACACATCTCCTCTGCCAAGTCCGAAGGATGGCTATCATGATAATGCCAGCAAACCAAAGCCAGCAGCTTATTAAAAGGATTAGACTCCATGACCAAGTGGGATTTGTTCCAGAAATGAAGCACTGGCCCCCACACAAGAATCAATCACCGCATACACTGAATTAACAGAATAAAGAAAGCAGGAAGAAGATCCCACAGGATCATCTCAACAGAGGCAGGAAGTATATCGTGATGTCTGATAGCCTTGCGTTATGAAAACACTCAGCAGACTAGGATTAGAATAGCACATCTTCAGTAATAAATGAAGGGCATCTGTAAAAAACCCACAGAGAACCTCACACCTCATAGTGAAAGATTGAACTCTTTCCCCCTAATAACAAGACAAAAAGTCTCATCTCTTAAGATACCAACTCCTACCACTCCTATTTCAACACTGTACTGGAGATCCCAGCGGGGCAATTAGGGAAGGAAAAGAAGAGAGGTCCAGATAATTCAGATTGGGAAAAAGTAGTAAAATCATCATTATTTGCAAATAATATGATCTAAAAATTCTAAAGGAGCCACACACACACACACACACACACACACACACACACACACGTGTGTTAGTGTTAATAAAAATTATTGGCAAAGTTGCAGAGTAAAAGAATATACAAAAGTTGATCGCATTTCCCCACATCACAATGAGCAACATGAGTTAAGAAAATGTTCATTTAACACCAAAAATATTGCTACTAGCCTCTGTTCATCAAAAAGAAAGGCTTGTGATTTCATTGTGTATGACTGTATCTTATAATCTGAGCAACTACTTGGAACATAACAATATGTGATATATTAACCAGTGTCAATCTCCTATTATGTTGTTTTGAAATTTTTTATCATTGCTTTTTTTATTTTTTAATTTAAAAAAATACTACTAAATGTAGTAGTGTTTAGCAGACTTGCAGGCTGAACGCTGCAAAACATTCTGGGAAGAAACCAAAAAAGATCTAAGCGCAGGAAAGCAATCCATGCTCCCAGATGAGAGGACTTAATGTTAAAATTGTAATGTGAACTGGACTGCATATCCAGTGTATTTTACATGTGATTTTTGTGGACATGGATAAGCTGGTTCCCGGATTCGCTTTGAGATACAAGGCATGATGAACACCTAAAACACCCTTTAAAAAAAGAACGAAGTTGGAGAAAGATTTTCTGACTTAGACCACCAAGCTAAAATAGTCATGGCCCTGGGCAAAATAGAACTGAGACTTCAGTACTCAATGTAGCACCTACAGTTAAACTACTTTTTAGCAAAGAGGCCAACCACTTAGTGGGAAAAGTAAAGTTTCATCAAGAAATGGTGATGCACTCTGGCTTCTCACAGCAAAGGGGTGAGTTTCAACCCTGACTCACACTGTTAACTGTTTGCAATAGTTAACTCAAAGCAGATCAAGTTCTTACTAAATATAAGGGCTGAGTTCTTATACGGAGACAGGATCAACCTGTGTGGCCTTAGATCAGCCACCAGCTTATTAGACATTCTGCAAGATACTCTAGCAAAGAAAGGAATCAATAATAGACAAGAGGAACATTATCCAAATTAAATTCCTTTAGCTTCAAAGAGGACTGTTAACAAAGGGAAAAGACAGTCCAATTTAAGAAAAAAGAATTGCAAATCATATATCTGATAAGTCTAGTATCCAGAATATATAAAAATTGTGATAACTCAATATTTAAAAATAGCACAAATAGCCAAATTTTAACATAGGCAACATGTTAAGAAGAAGACAAAAAAAATGGACAAGAAACATAGATTTCAGAGTTATTAATCAGTAAGAAGTCATAGAATCATAGTAAGATATTTCATGCCTGCGAGGATGGCCATGAGATTTTTTTTTTTTTTTGCTTTTTTCATAAAAAGAAGAGAAAGAAATCAGTGTTACTTGAGGATGTGGAGATATTGGTAGCTGCATTCATTACTGATAGGCTTATGAAATAGATTTATTCTCCATTCAGCTATTTTAGCCTATCCTACACAGAGTGATGATTATTTGAGTCAGAAGGGCTTTCTACACTGACTGGGGAATTATGAGAAAATTAAGTGAGTTATTACATGACAGACTGCCAGCTGCTAGGAAGTGGTCAGCACTATTCTCCTGCTGATAAACACATTTATAAATGAAGCGGATTTCTGCAAGGGACCAGTGGGTCAGGGCAGAGGAGCTCCAGCTCTTTGTGTTGAACCCTGCCTAGCCTCATGGGACAGGCCACCCCAGATTTAGGAGAGAGGGGAACAAATAACCAGACACCTGATTAAGTAAAAGTTTGTAGTTATAAGACGGGGGTCCTGAAACTGGTTGTCTCTTCATCTATAGATAACATTAATCTTTATCCCTTTATGCCTCAGGATATTGATGAGGATGAAAAGAGGTAAAAGTTTGAAAATGTTATACTTCAAGTCAGAAGAAAAGCAGCCCCTGGATTGAGCATCCTCTATTAATGTGCTACCCACGCAGTCAGGCACCCTAAGGCTCCCACTCCACAGGAGGTGACTGCTTATCTACAGAGGAGGCTTCCTCTACTACGTGCAGCAGAATCATCTCGAACCATGACACAAACGTGCAGTCCAGAGAGTGAGAAATGATTGTCTGTCCATCCACTTAAGGGTGGCAATCACACAGAACCACCAGGAGCACATCTTGGGCGAGGCCGGGCTGGGGCCTCAATTTTAGAGGTTCTCCAGAAGGGATCCCAAAACCTAAGTGTGGCATCCTTTCTACCATCACTCATGGCAAAGAAGAGCAGGCAGGGCCAGTGAGGCAGCGAAACAGCAGAGGTCAGGAATGCAGGACATGACGGAAAATAAATGTTGCCATGGGAACAAGAGAACCCCTGGAATGTTGAAGGCACAAGGTAAGGTGGCTGGTGGGCTCCTCACAAGCTCAAGGAGAGGAAAGTAGATGGGCACGGAGTTGGAGCCCTCACTGAGAAGAGACGGTGACTGTGAGTTGGAACACATGTTGAGCATCTAGTATGGGCCAGCCCAGGGCATGGGCAGTAAAGCTGGTGAACAGCGGACAGAGGTGCAATAGCACATCAACAAAGGAGTTGACTTTGGGAAAAAAGAATGATGATGAATGTCCCTTACATGGGACACCAGGACTGAGGGGGACACATTTGATAGAGAAGGAAGGAGGATTTGTGAGGATGCAGCTTGGAAACCAGGAAACACACACAGCTCAGCGTGGGAGTACAACACACATGGCCACTGAGGTCCCACTGGAGGTGCAGGAGAAGGTAGATTGTGCAAGGGCGTGTGCACCTGAATGCTACAATGAATATGAGCAGATACCCCCATACAACACACAAACATGCACACACACACACACACACACACACACACACACACGCACACTCACCCCTCTGTCTGCCTGCAGTGGTGGCATGATAGTTTAGAATGTCCCCTTGCAGGTGGCGTTGAGTTTAGATTACAGAAGGGAGAGGTGAAGGAGGGATGTCAGAAAGGCTGGAGGATGACTAAATCCTCCCTGCTGAAGCACTTCTCTGGAATAAACTCACCCAGTACCTGACGTCAGCATTCTTTTTGCCAGATCTCTTCATTTTGAATGCAAATTCCAAGGTGTGCTTTCAGCTAGGGATAATTACCTAATTATCTATTATCCAGTGGGTTTCGCTGCATTTTATGCCCCCTCTCCCTTGTTTAGTGTGTGGTTTTTGGCAAGCTTGAGAAAGATGTGACTCAACCGCCTGTCAGCGCAGCTTTGGTGAGCTCAACACCTCATGGAAAAGGAATCACTCTTGTCTCGGGCACAGAGGGGTAACTGATTACTAATTACTGAAAATTATGTCTGAAGTGGAGAAGGCAGAAGCCTATTTTCTAAGGCTCTGGGTAATTAGCAGACAAGCTTGAGACACCCGTGGTAGCCAGAGGGAAGAAACATCTGGGAAGGAGGAGGCTCTTTACCTCCGCCTAAGACCTACTTACAGCTTTGGGCTGAGGAGCTTCTCACTCCCAAGCAAAAAGGAGGGCGAGAATTGAGGTTGGGACTGGGGCCTGCGTATTGCAGCTCAGAGCAGGAGGTGCTAGGATGAGCCACAGGGCTGTCTGCAGTGCAAGGGTGGATGACAGAACAGAAAGGAAATAAAAACTGAGCTCTGTGCTTTCTTAAAAGTATCATGGGTAGTCTTTCTAAAACCCAAGTCTATTCATGCCACTGCTCTGCATCTCCGTGTCCAGAAAGTTCCAGATTCTCATGGACTTTTTTTTGTTTGTTTTTTGTCTTTTTCCTTTTTATCGGTACCG